CCCCCCCCCACTTTGACAGAGAAGATTCAAGGTGAGTTTCAGGAGTGGAATCATGGAGTGGAGCCTTTAGCCCTTGTTTTGTTTTTTAGAGGCAATGCTGGTGAGAGGAGGGAGGGAGCATCTTTCTCGGACAATCCGTCCATTTTAGCCAATGTTTCAGATAGTATTCCATATACAGTGATTATGCAACGTTGCATTTTAAATTATTTAATCCTTAGGGTACTGGTGTTTTCTAGACTGCCAGATGCATACTTCAAAGTTTGTGTGTATATATAAAGTCTGTAGTCTATAAAAGGTTAACAGAAATTATGTTTATATGATTTTGTGTTTTGTAAGTTTTGCAGCAGTCGGTGTTGGTCAGCTGTTGATTGCTCTTCACTCTGGTTCCCAGATTTTTTTCCCTTCTTCCTTTCCCTGCTCTCCACTGCCTTTCTGATGTCAGCCTTCCTACCCTAAAAGCAGACAGATGAGACTTCGAGCCTATAGGCCACTGGGGGAAATTCCCCTTTCTTTTAATTACTTGAAGGTCAACAAAAATATTAAAATATCTGGGTTGTCAGGGGTTTCCCCTAACTTCATTTCTTCAGTGTGATCTCACCCCTCACTTGGTGCTGACTCCAATGCCATGGTCTTCACACAGAACGAGTAGCAACATGGTTTGGAATGATCAAAACTATGGATACAAAAAAAAAAAAAAGGTGAGACATAAACAGGAGGAAGCCACTGTCTGAACTGGCTTGAGAACAGTTGCCACGTACATATCTGTATATAGAATTTTTTACATGAATGCTTTTACTTCTTCCTGGCAACCTAATGAATTAATATTTTACGGCCATTTCTTGCTGCTATTGAGCTCAATTTGTGTATCGAATAGAGACTGAAGCTGCCTTTTTGCCTTTTTTGTAGACTTTGCTCCACTTCACTTGAATCACTTCTGTTGTTTCTTACTTCGGTTTTGCCCTCCTCTGAGCTAGCCACAAGCCCGTTCTCGGGAGGCAAACGCTCACTTCCTACAGGCAGCCACCACAGTGGGCAATCGCTGCTCTGGCAGCAGCAGTCTCAGCAAAGGCCAAAGATGTTATGGGTCACAGGGACGCTGCAACTAGGAGTATTTCAAGAGCAGGGTCAGGCGTAAGGGGCAACAGAGGCAGGGAGGAAGGAGTAGGGCAAGTATACAGGAAACTTACACTAATGCTGTACCCAGCCTGTGAGTCAAACAGACTGTTGCAGAGTCTTTCGAACCGGCACCTTTCAGTATTAAATGCAGTACACGTG